ATTATAGTCCATTTTAAGTAAAGTGTAGGCCCTAGGGGGGGGGGGACGCCTACTACTACTACTACTACCACTACTACTACTACTACTACTACTGCTAGAACCACTCCCGCTCCACCACCACGACTACCACTACCACTACTACCACTACAACTACCGCCACGACTACCACTCGGTGTAAAGTCAGGCCGCGCAAGTTTACACCGACCTTAAATGCGATTTAGCCCCTGAACACAAAACCTTATTCCCTTCCAAGACTGCCATAGACTCGCGGCAGTTCATTCCCAGTAGTTTTATGAAGGTTCCTAACAATTTAGGGGTGAAGGTCATGCATCCCTCAGGGCCATTTTAACTCTTAGCTACACGCAGAGTTTTCACAGCGACTATCGTAAGGTATCCTCACCTCTGCGGGATTTTGCCTGGAAGTCATCTATCTGAAGTATGCCGTGACCTCCTGGAACCCGCCCTAATGGCGGAAAGGCATCGTCAACATGTTTAGGGCTCAGGGTTCAGGGAATAGCCTTGCATGGGCGAATTCCAGGTGACCAAAGGTCAAGTTTCCTTTCACATACACAGCCTCAAGACGTGCAGGGAATGAGTCTTGCTTCCACCTAGGGAGGATTCTCAAGATAGGGGTAGTGAGTTGGGACACAGGCACCGCAGCTACAAGGGCATTATGTAGACCATAGTCTAAACTCCTAGCATCACCCTTAATCTCCGCTATAATAGTCCCCATATAATCCTCCCAATCTCCCCAATAGTAGTCCCCTATATTATCCCTTACATAACCCTCCTTTAAGGAGTTGAAACCCCAAACCCTATATAATTTGGTTCTTGCCCCCACCCAGTAACAGCCGATAACAGGGGTAATATTCAGGGCTATGTAGAACCATAATATAAATATTTATCCAACTGTTGCTGGGTGGGGGCAGGACCCAATATATGATCCCCTATATAACCCTATACTACTCCCCTATTATAGCTTGAAGAGGAATGTTTGCTTGGGATTTTTCAGAGTCATCCTGGAAAGCTCGCTGGATGATACCCCCCCCAAACCCTAAACCCGGTTTAGGGTTTAGGGAATACCTGAACCCTAAAAGTATGTAGAATAATGGCCTTTTGGGCTATGTTGTACGGGTTTCGGGCCATTATCCTACCTACTTTTGGGGGTCCAGGTACAATACCTCCCCGAAACCTCTAAATAGCAGTTTCCATGTTCTTTTCCATTACCCCAATATGACCCCTATGTACTACAGTAGTTTCCAATTTATTTTCCATTATCCCATATAAAACCTCCCTATAACCCCCTATATGATGCTTAAGCAACCCCAAGACAACCCCTATATTACCCTATCCCTAAACCCCAAACCCTAAACCCTCAACTCTAAACCCTAAGCCCCTTGTGCCATCCCAAAACCCCTAAACCGTGCGAGTTTCGAGGCTGTCCGAACCATCTGCTTCTCGGTCAACCATGTCAAACACCTCCTGTGAAAGGTCCATGCAGGTGTATAGCACATGGAGGGTTTAGGGTTTACGGTGCTTACTGTAGGCCCCAAGGGCTTCCAAAAGACTATTTTGGTCCTCAAGTATATACGTAGACTATGTAACTACATAGACCCTTTGGGCCCGTCAAAGGGTGTAACGCACTTCAGCGCTCAGGGTGTGGTGCCGTGCTCCAAGCCCTCCTTTCGCCGACATTGTGGATCCCACACAAGCTGCCCTAAACTCGGGTCAACCCGTCCCCGTATGCCCGGTAAGATTCACATGCTCAGGCGCTACATTAAAAAAACGGCATCACCATTTGAAACCTCAAAATCTTGCACTTTCTGTCGAACTCGATCCTGTATGTAAGGGACACTCAATGTTGCAACACCTTTTTACACTAAGTCTGAGCACATCCTAAACCCCTAAACCCTAAACCAGTGAGACTCTCCTCCTGCACTTTCTCAGCGGCACTGTAGCCTCAGTTGCTCCCTGGTCCCTGCACATGCTCTGTGCTTTCTTGCCCGGGTCAAGTAGGTCAAACCTGACCCTGACAACTTCTATTAGGGAGAATGGAAAAGAACATGGAAACTACTATAGTATAGTGTTTAGGGTTTAGGGTTTAGGGTTTAGGGTTGGGGTGTTGGGTGGGGTTATATAGGGATATTGGAAAAGAAAATGGAAATTAATATATCATACTAGGCCAGGCTTATATAGGGATAATGGAAAAGAAAATGAAAATTCCAATATAACAGTAGGGATTATATAGGGGTTGTATACTGACAATGGAAAAGAATATGGACACTAGTATATTATGCTAGGGGTTATATAGGGGGTAGATACTGATAATGAAAAAGAAAATAGAAATTACTGCTCCCCTAAACCACGCCATCCTCAGAAAGACAACCGTTCCTTTGGATGTCTCAAACAGAGATCCTTAAAACTGTGACACTTAAGGTCCCAACGAACTTGCAGGATTTCACAGAGCGTGCTGTCATTGACTCTCAAACGCCCCTGCATGCTCTTGGCAAGTAACCTTTCGCCCAGTTGTTGCCGGCGCCCCCACCATCTTTCGAGATGAAGACGTTCTCAGGGTTGTACAGCCTGCCGCGCAGAGCCATTGTGGGGTCTGAGACAAGAATTTTCAGACAGCGACAGGCTGCAGGGAATGCAGGTTTACAAGGCTCAAGTTCACGTTGTCTTTTTCAGAAGTTGTCATGGGATGCTAGCTTGCATGTAGAGTGGAGTGACTTGGCATCGGAACCTAGGGCCCTGATTAGAATCGTAGACATATCAATGATAACAGCTAGTAGCGATACTACTGATAGTATTGTAGTACCAGTAATAATAATGATAATAGTAGGTAGTAGAAATGATATGGAACCGCCAACCGCAAGCATAAGATGTGAACAATGAAGCCAGGCTTGCATAAGACAGTGGCAAGCAGACCACAATTCAGATTCCATGCCCTTTGGAGAAAGCTGTTTGAACAACTTCTTGTATTCTGACACCTACCCTAAGCCCGGAACACTGCAGCCCTAAAACCTAAAGCCCAAACCCTAAAAACCTAAACCCTAAACCCCTAAACCCTAAACCCTAAAACCCTAAAACCCTAAACCCCTAAACCCCTAAACCCAAAAACCCTAAAACCCTAAAACCCCTTAACCCTAAAACTCTAAATCCTAAACGCTAAACTCTAACCCTTAAGGTACAGGTTTGGAGCTGATCGCGCAGATTGCACATCGGCTACTGTCACTCAGGCAGGCCAACTTTTTTGATCTTTGGCCTCCTAAACTTACTTAGTAAGTAGGTTAATAATGGGGACAATTGGAGTTACTGTATGGGTTATAGGGGTTATTAACCTACTTACTAAGTCCCCCTGACCCTCCAACAACCCCCATCCGCAAACTTTGAGTCCCGACGAGAGCCCGTGTCAACATGGGGCACCTGGGAAGGCATCAGACCTTCAGGGTTTTGGGGGCGCCTCTTGGGGATTGCCCCTAAACCCTGTACCTCTAAACCCTAAGCCCTGGATGCTCAAAAGGAACCATAACGTGGATATACGCCCCAAACCCTATAAACCCTAAACCCTAAATAGTAGCTTCCATATTTCTTTCCCTCATCCCTGTATATAACCCCTATGCTGCACGTCAGGTCTGCCGGAAAAAAAGGAACGAATGCAGATGAGAAGCTCGGCATACTCTGATGTCTGAATCACGTTGATTACCTTGGTTTAGGGCTTAGGGTTCAGGATTTAGGGTTTAGGATTTAGGGTTTAGGGTTCAGGGTCTACGGTTCATGGTTTAGGGTGCTTCAATATGGTCAAATGAGCACGCAGGGCTCAGTACTTGTGTCCAGTCAGGGAAACACGATGGAACAATCCATGCTTTTCTCATTCGGAAAATGCCCTGAACTCTGAGTACACGTGATCCTTCTGCAACTTCATCCTGAAAATTGATACGCCCACGATTCAGACTCAACCCACAAAATGCTGGAACCATGGAAATGTATATGCACACATTTATCTGTACACCACATGTGGAAATATGCTCATACCTGTATATAGGATGGGATCTTCATTTCATGATCCCCGTACATGGACAAACCTATACAACAAAAGACACTAATGCATTGTAGTAGGGCTCTCGCAATGTTGAACAACAGGTAGTCTGGGCTCCCGGATCAAAGGCTCCTGAATTGCGCTTATCAATTCCTTGGACCATAAACCTTCGATAGTTATAGTATCATTTCCCCTGAATCCCTATATCCAGACCCCCTATTCTACTTCTTAATGCCCTAAACCTTAAATCGTAAACCCCAAACCCTAAACCTTAAACCCTAAACCTTAAACCCTAAACCCCTAAACCCAAACCCTAAAACCCTAAACCCTAAACCCCCAACCTAAACCTTAAACCCCTAAACCCCTAAATCCTAAGCCCTAAATCCTAAATCCTAAGCCCTAAACCCTAAACCTCTAAAACCTTAAACCCTTAACCCCTAACCCCCTAAACCTCCTAAACCCCTTCAGCATTCCAATCTCCAGCGGCCCGTGGCTCCATATCCAAGAGGAGAGCTCGGGGAATGTAGTGCTCATCGTCCGCTTGGTAGAAAAATACATCCTTCCCCAGGGGGTCCATGTACCCAATAATTAGTTTAAGGGGCTATATAGGGCTATATAGGGGTATATAAGGTTTAGGGTTTAGGGTTTAGGGTCCATGTACCCAATAATTAGGTACTTGGGCTCTGGGTCATGGTGATTATAGTACAGGTTTTGGGTAAGTATATGATTATTAGGTATTTGGCCCCTTAGGGTTCGGAAGGTCTTGGTAGAAAGATACATCCTCCGGAGGGCTTAGAGTTTAGGGGTCTAGGGTTTAGGGGGTTTTATGGGGGTTATATAGGGATAATGGAGAAGAACATGGAAACTGCGTTTTAGGGTTTAGGGTTCAAGGTTTAGGGGTTATAGTCCCCCCTTAAGTAGATAGAATTTGGGGTATATGCGGATCTTATTATAGTATACCTAAAGTCTTAGTCTATCTAGTTTAGGGCTTAGGGGTTCAGGGCTGATACGCAGTATACCAGGCATATTTCCCAAGGTATAAGGTACTTAGGGTCATGCAGGAGTTTCAGTATCCACCTTGCAGCTGAAGGGTTTGGGGCTTAGGATTTCCAGCCTGTTGAGGCTTAGGATTTGCAGCCTGTTGGGGCTTAGGATTTCCAGCCTGTTTAGGGGGTTTGAGATTTTTCCTCAGGTTTCTTTGAAGCGAAGAGATTAGGGCCTGTTGAGATTTCGGGCTGATAAACGAAGACGTAGAGCCTGAATGGATACCAGGCTTTGTAGGGTGTATAGGTTTGAGGGTCTGGTAGAAACACATCGTTAGTAGGGTTTTTGCGGTGCAGTTGAAAGCCTTTATGATTCTCAGAGCTGTGCATTTCAGGTTGGGATTTGGGCTGAACCCTAAACCCTACACCCTAAACCACGTATCTGGAGCGCTAAACCCTGCCTGAACCCGGATGCAGTGCGTAGGGCTTCGTGGAGGAACACATGCCTGTAGCACTCAAAGCCCTAAACCTCAACCGTAATCCCCTCCCCCTAATAATAA